CACATAAAAAACCCGGTGCCAGAGGCAGAATGTGGCAACATCGCCGACCTCACATCAGTGTGGGTGCCACCTCTCTGATGGTGAGCCGACTCCACTGCCCACGTCCGATGTCCTCCTCGACCGCTGGCTTGTCCTAAATTTTGAGTCATAATCCGAGCTCTCACTCGTTGCTCGATTCGACTCTCGCCGGCTGCCAACCCACCAATAGTGCAACACATCACGTTGCCACCGCAGAAGGTCGCGAATCTTGAGCCCTTGGCTGGTGGTAAACGTCACGTAGAGCAGCAGCGCCTTCAGAGGTGACAGCCTGAGCTGATGCAGAAGCCACCGATTGACAAAGTCCGTCTTGCCACCTTCGTTGTGCGCAATGATGAGCCGGTCGATGGAATACTCCTTTGACGCGAGCTGCATCCGTCCTCGCTTGCTCGGGTCGCTGTCTGGCAGCTTGGCTGCAGCCTTCAACGCTCCACCAGCCGTTGTCGGCACTTCCTCCAAGAGATGCTCCGGCTGGCTTAGTAGCAACGAGAACTTGGCATGGGCGAGGCTGTGGGTAGGCTCGTCCTCAGAATCAAGGTCGATATCTTCGTACCCTTGTTGAGGGTACAAAAGATAAGCCACTTGTGACGACAGGTGCTTCTGCATCACCCTCTTCTGCTCGCACAGTTGCCGGAGCTGCGTTACCTTATCCTGTAGCTTGGACACGCTATCAGTCATTCGCTCCTGGTCCGCTGGGAAGTCGGCCAAGAATTCCTTCTCGGCTACTGTCAATTCCATGTTTGCCGTAGTTTTCATCGTCAGCTCCTTCTCGTGCTCTCCCTTTAGGAACAGGAGTTCATCGAGGTCCTCCTTGGCATTTTGAAGATCGCCCACAGCCGACATGAGCTCTTGGAACAGTGGGTGAGGGTCATCCGTAGGACCATTGGGAGAAATGCCCCTGAGCAACTCTGGCGTGTCCTGCTGTGGTTCAGGCTCCTTGTGTGGCCGTATGGATATGGTGTTGCCCACCGCGAGCAAGCTGAAGAAGTTGGTTTCCAATTTGTTAAGCTCTTCTTCCTCTTCGTCCAGGCTCATTTCTTGGTCCTCGTAATCACGCTCCAAGGCCTGATAATCGGACCTCAAACGCTGCATCTCTGCCAGCCGACGATCCACACCATCAACACTGCCACGCAACGTCGGAAGTGAACCATTAGGATCGACAAGTACAGGCCGTATGATAGCCATGAAGGCATTGTCAGCCTGATCTCTGGCACGCCGCAACTCTTTGAGCCTTTTTCTTTTTCTCGACATCTGAGACTTGATATCATTTAATTTGGCCCTTTGATCTTTGAGCTTGGTCCAGAGTATCTCGACTGCATCCTCCGGAGGTGCAGATGTCTTGGAGACATTGCTTTTGTTGGCATCATTCACCTCTGGCACAGCATCAACCCGCGTGTCAGTACCGGACCAACGCCGCGGGGTACGGCTCCTTTCGTATTGAGAGATCCATGTCGTGATCCGGTTGGTCATGGACGCCTTGCGGCGGATCACTCCCGGAGTAACAAGAGGCGCTGATGGAGGCAAAGGTGGAAATTGTCGGGTGCCAGAGGGTTCAATCTGCTCTAGCTCCGACCTGGCGTCGAAGGAAGACTCCGACCATGATTCCGAGTCCAAGTCAGATGCAGTCCGATCAACAGGATTGGGGCTCCGACCCCTCGACGGACTACCGTCAGCCAGCTCGATGGATCTTTCGTGAGGTATTGAAGTGTGTGCCAGGGATTTCGTTGCCGAAGCCCCGGGGTCTTCCGGCGTCGAGGCGGCCGGTGACCGAGGAGGCGGTGACGGTGGAGCGGAGCCCGGGAGTGTAGCTTGCTGGGGCCGAAACGGATCGAAGGGTTGTGGCAAAGACGGCAGCGACGTGGACAGGAATATCGGACAAAGGGACTCGTGGCTCTTGGATACTGGTGGAAGCGAACGTTGACGAACAGGAAGAGGTGTTAGTTTCTGCGAGGACGATCGGGACAAAGAAGTTGGTGGGCGTGTTGGTGAAACGGAGGCCGTGGGTGCTGGAGTGGAACGCGACACGACAGCGTCGTCCGGCTTGGGGATTGGAAAGCTAGCGGGTTGGAAGCTAGCAGGTTGGAAGCTGGAGAGTGAAGCGAAACTGCCGAGTGGCATGGAGCATTCGGATGCGGATGTGCTTCTGGAGGATGGCAACGATCGCAACAGAGCATCTTGGACCGAGTCAAGAGCCTCGCCCCCGACCCGGACCCGGGTTCGAGGATACGCATCAGTCCCAGGCGACGACACAGGACGGGGCGAGGATTGAGCGTAACGTAGATGAAGATCTTGAAAGGATTTCGTGAAGCTCTGGCGGATATCCTGTACCACCGCGCCGGCATCCATGGACAATGATCAAGATAACTATGGCAAGGGAGAAGACCTCATGGGGGCGGCTCGTCCATACCTGTCCCAAGGTGGCATCGATAGATGGGTGATGACGAGATTGTGATGGATGGAGCTTGAGCTTGAGCTTGAGCTGGAACTGGAACTTGGAGCCGAGAAGGCAAAGAGGCGGGCGATCAAAAGTCGAGGGAATGAATGACAATGCGGCTCTGCAGCTTTGCGGGGATGAAAAGAGAGAGAGCTTTCCAAGTTTGGGAGATTGACAGCTGGAGCTTTCGACGCGAGGTCCACGGCAGGTGTGCTTCATTTCCAGGCAGGTGGCCCTCCATTTCTTTTCCCCCTTCTCTCCCTTCTAATCGCCGGACAGGACGGGAGAGACGAGATAATGATGACACTAAGGGAGGGCCCGTGTCTGGGGGACCGGCCACTAACGTAGTAGATGCTAGCGAAGTGCTAGCCCTGTTTTCGGGGAAGCTTGCCCCGGTTCCTGGATGGCCTGCTCTGATTCACCGAGGAGCGACACAATCAACACCTTGGACCCCAAATGTATTCATGGACAATCTCCTGCCTATCAAGTGGAAACATGGCGTCTCATGTGAGAGGGCCAAGCCATGACACCTCTGAGATACTGTGTGAGGTGGTCGCAAGCCTGCCGGGCTGCATAAATAGCCCGTGAAGCCCACTGGATGTCATCCCTGGCCTGGTCTGGCCAAGGAGCGGCACGGGCATGCACCCAGGCAGTTTGATGGCCAACGGTCCCCCGTCGATGCCGCCGAAAACGGGGCTACGGGACCCCCTCCTCCGGGGCACCACTCCTCCTCGTCGGAGCCATGAATAGGTCCACTTCACCGACTCGGCTTCGACTCGTCCACCGTCATCTCGAGATTCGAGATGACTCTTGAGGCTCTGTGGCTTCGATTTGAGGCCCACGAGGCCTGCAGCTGCCGTGGACTGTGTAGCGTTATCACTGGAAGGAAGCTGGACAAGCTGGAGCAGCCACCGTACGAGCTTCCGGCTGATGCCTCTTCCGCACTGTGCTATTTTTGACCACTCATCTTGCTCCATCCCAGAGCCTCGTTGACGTTGTCACTCTACATGGTCACCTAACAGCTTCAAGCTGCACGGGTTCCCGATGCCTCTAAATCGCTCACTCCCCTCCACTTCGTCTTCGTCCAATCAATTTTCTCTCCTGTATGTTTCGTCCATGTCTTCCCGTGCGCTGGCTCCATCAGGAGGGGCGTGTGCCTTCACCCGTCGGTCCCTCTCTTCGGAACCTCCTCAGATGGGCGCCAGTGTGTGGTGCTCTCCAGCGAGCGCCGGGTTTATCTCGACCTTGGCCGGTTCTACTTCCCTCGCTTCCTCCTTCTCTGGTCTCTCCCACAGAGAATGGCTAGAGGTCGTCATGCGAGCCTGCATGTTGACTCCTCAGTCCCCTCCTTGAGTCCACCTCCTCCACTTCTTCCATCCCCACTTGTCCCCCGTTCTATTACTCGCTGGGTGATGCGCGACATAAGAGATGCTGGGCTGCATTGTAAAAAGCAACTGATAAGCTACGGCTGCCGCTCTGCTGTGCACTCTTCTCTCGGCCGTCCGGTTTTGTCCCTTTGTCTCGTCCGATAACCTCCTCGGGCTGGCGGGACTTGTGAGACTTGTTCTGGCTGGAGACCGTTGACTTCAGTCTACATCACAGCTGTCTGTCTTCTTGACGCAGTACAACAGCTCTCACAGCTATAGCTACAGCTACAGGTACAGCTACCGTTGCTGCTTCTGCTTTTGCGGCTGTTTCTGCAGCTGCTCATTGCTCAGCCCTTCCTGCGATCATCACGGGCAGATGCTGATGCCTTGTTCTACCACCACCACACCTTCGAACAGTCCACCATCAACCACCAACCCCAGCTGCTCTAGGATATCAAAAGACCACCACTAGCTGACGCCTTCCAGCATATCTTATGCGACTTCAAGTGGTCATCCTAGTCTTGCAGATACTCTGACCTCCCACCGGCTTGCATGCATAAGGACACCGCTTCCACCTCAACTGAGTTGACAGGAGAAACACGCAACAAGTCCCATTCCGGCTTTGAAACAAAAGCAAGACAGCTTCCCCGCGGCATTCGCCAAGTGCAGTCATTTACACCACTCCCCCTCCGTCTCGATACGTCGCCAACACATCCACGACAGGGACCAACGGGAACCCCGACCTCCGTCCCCGTGCAACCAAGCCGCAGTTCCCAGGTCCGGCTCGCACCTTTGGGGAACAGCTGAGCCGCAAGACCTGGTGCTATTCCGGCTCTCCTCTCTGCCCTCTGCTCTTCCTACTTCTGGTCGTTGATCTATTTCTACATAAGCCCCCAACCCACCATCTTCATGTTGGTGCTTTTACACTTCCAGCCTTAAATCCAGAATTCCGGAACCTCGAATCCTGCACGTTTACAAAGCCTTGGAGCCTTTCGAGGTGTTGGCGCCAGGCTTTGTGTTTCGATATTTGCACAGTCGTCACCTTGATCAGTTTCAACGTTGACGTCTGCTCCCACCACGCTGGTGGATCTTTTCAGTCGCTCTATCTTTATACCTGGGCGACTTTGTTAACTGTTGCACGAACCAGCCATATTGTTCTCCATCTGTTTGTTCTGGTTACTTTAACGTTACGTCGGTCGATATCCTGTTCAATTTTGCGTTCGGTGCTACGGAATCTTGATACATGACTCCCCGCGCACAATGCCATCATGTCTATGTATCCACCAAGCAATATTCAATGGTCTGAATGGGCCTGGGATCCAACCTATGGCCAGTACTACCGCCAGGCTACAGATGCCAATGGTGCGTGATCCTCCTACTAGTCTACCCCTTTTTGTCCCGAGAGGATACTCAACTAATCATGACGCCCATAGGCGAGATTCTAATTCAATGGCAATCTGAAGTCGCTAATGACCCTTCCACGCCTCGGGAAACTGACGAGGTCCCGGACGTATCGGCGCTTACTCTCCAAGATCCCCCATCTCCGGACGACGGCGACCCAGCCAGTACGTAATACCATCCCAGGCAAGCTTTTGGCTAGACCACTGCTATACGCCTGACTATCTGACGCTTCCATCCCAATGTCAGTCTTGGCTAACATCGAGCCCCGATAGATTATACTACGGAAGCCTCGTCAAAACCCAAGTCCAAGTCCAAGTCCCACAAATCATCCAAAAAGGAGTCGAAGAGTTCAAAATCCAAGTCCAAATCATCGCATCGAAAGGGGAAGAGTCGTGCCCAAGATGATGATGATGAGGAAGAAGAAGGAGAGCCGGATCCCGCCCAGGCCCCTCGCGTGTGTGAGTATTCATAAAGCCATATTCATCCTTCAATGAGTCTGACTAACTGAAACAGATTTCGATCATCAGACAGGAGAATACCTACCTTACCCAGAGAACGATCAAGGTGCGTTTGAAGGAAACCTGATGCTTATTCGAGTACCTACTTATACATGATAGATCCAGGACAATATGGTACTGGAGATGGCGATGATGCAGAGCTCGAGGCCTATCATCAAAGCCGGAAATACAGCAGAGACCAATACTCTGCCGGTGGACCTGCAGATTCTGCCTATGGTGGTATGTTGCCCAGTACTCAACAACGAGCCTGCCAACTAATGCATGGTATCACAGCCTATGAACCCGCTGAGCCTGAAGAGACGCCAGCTCGCGCCGAAGAGCACATCACAGGCACTGCGGGTGACTACGAGCTGCTAGACCCCCGTAAGTCTTGTGTTTTTCGTTAGTGGTTCAGTCCTAGCTAACGACATTTTAGGGTATACGGTTGTGCACTCGAGTTACTTCCAACCTGGCGAGGTGCGTATATCTGCTGGTCGTACTCCTACACATCGCTAACTACATTTGCAGGTTTTCAAGGTCCTGTGGCCTGAACCAGCGGGATCAAGAAGCGCACCCAATGTGTCGACTTACGCTGAGGGATCAACCAAAGGCGCACCCAGTGTGGTGATTTACCCTGATCAATATGGCGGCCAGATCTTTGCTCACTTCCGCCGCTTCATCGTGATCGCAAATGATTATGGGCACTGCCAGTGCGTGTAAGTGATCCATCACGCACTCACTCGATAAGAAGCGAGCTAACTGTCCAGGCCCATCTCAACGTACGGCAAAAAGGGCTGTACAAAGAGCGGCGCCAAGCCCTCGCAACACGGTATTGTCCATGACGTGAGGTCCAGGCCACATCTTCTGTCACATGAGCCTGAGCTTGGATACAGACCAGTTCGACTCGAAATCACGGATCAGAGCGAGAAGATTTCCAGGGAATCCCGGGTCAACTACGCCAAGCTGACGACTGTCGAGCATAATGTCAAGGTGCTCTTCGTCGGCCGAGTGATACCAGAGGACCTATCAATCGCCAAAGACGCGGTCGATGACTGTTGGCGCAAGAAGACCCATACCACCAGGAGGCAGCATCGCAGGCAATAACCTGCCTACAACTCGCCTCAACAACACGTTCACGGGACCCAAACGGGCCCCGACTTCACGGTGTCATGAACGGCACTAGCATAAATACGTTCACCAGAGGCCGGTGGTCCTGTCCACCGGCACATCTGCGAAATCGGACTGAGTGATTTTGTCATCATCGAGTCCAGCTTGGGAGGAGCCTCGGCTATGGCCGATGCTACCTGAATACCCAGGTAGCTTTTTGAGTGCGTCGACCGAAGCCCGCCTACGTCAGTCAGACGCTGGGGTTGATGGCCGTACGCTCTGAGAGAATACGAAACATGACCTTCTACGCACTCTCTTTTTACAATGTTTGAGTCTAATATTTGGTACACACGAGATTGATACGTTTTCCTTGGATACGAATTCACGTCGGGGCATTGCCACATTTCACTTGGAAACGGCAGGAAAGTTAGGTGTCACAGGACTCACCAAACAAGTACAGTGCCTCACAGGCGAACCAGAGGCCTTTGGAATGGACTCTGCTTTTCTTTGTATGTTATTTTGGGTCATGTTGGCGGATATCTGCTTTTGCACGTTGGCTTATGAGCAAAGTATGAGCAAGGAGGATGAAATATATGGGCAGATTGTTTGGAATGGATATCATGACATATTATGACACCTTTACTTTCGTTAAAGTCAATCAGATACCGATTCGCTAGTCAAAACCGTCTTTCCCTTGAGTAAACTTCTTCATGCAAGTCTCTGTGGTGTTGTGTAATACCTAGAGATGGGTATTAGTGATGCATTGCTCCCTATTACCCACCAAGACACGGCCCATCAGGCCCAAGCAACATGTCAACGCCATCATGACGAACGACGATCAGATAATGTAGTTGCCTTTTCTCCCCCGCAAAAGGAACCCCGGCACATGTGCTCCAACAGCTCTCCTTTTTCGGCCGAGTCTTCTTTTTAACGATCCAGGCCCAAATAAGGACCTTACCGAGAAGAGACCCACTCTGTGGATACTGTGCCTCGGCATCTTGTTCCCCGCAACGCGGCCGAGACCGACCCCAGTCGCGTCCTCAGAGGAAGCTCCGAGGCCGTGGAAGGGGGGGATTTGCCGTCGGTTTTGGTATTTAGGATTTGAATCATTCATCTTTAGGGACTGAGATCTTGGATCTTTAAATTTAACTTGTGTGAATCGACTTTAGCGTTGGTATTACTTTGAGAGTGAGCTGTCTCAGTCAGGTCAACACTTCCATCACAAGCAACCATCTCCAATTCAAGCCTCCAACTGTCATCTTTTTCTCTCCTTCATCAACAACAAACGACTACACAATGGCTGAATCTCACCTCGAAGACTTTCCCTCGCTCTTCTCCCTCAAGGGCAAGGTCGCTGTCATCACCGGCGGCTCTCGCGGTCTAGGCCTCCACGCTGCATCCGCGTACGTCAAACCCTTCTGTCTTGAATCATCTCCCTGCTGACATCATACCCCCCACAGGTTCCTTCAAGCTGGAGCTTCCAAGGTCTTCATCTCTTCCCGAAAGGCCAAGGCTTGCGAGGAGGCATGCAAGGCCCTCAACGCCCTGCCCAACCGCTCCCCCGGCGCGGTCGCCATCTCGGCGCCCGCTGACTCGTCCACGATTGAGGGCGTCGAGAGTCTCCTCGCGCAGGTCAAGAAGCACACTGACCGCGTTGATATTCTCTTTGCCAACGCCGGTGCCACGTGGGGCGAGCGCTTCGACACACACCCGGACTCTGCCTTTGCCAAGGTCATGGATCTCAACGTCAAGGCTGTTTTCAACACGATCCGGTTGTTCACCCCTCTGCTTGAGAAGAGCGCTTCTATCAAGGACCCTAGCCGCGTCATCATCACCTCTAGCACCGCTGGTCTAGGCGTTGGCACGATCGGCAAGCAGGGTACCTATGGTTATTCTGCCAGCAAGGCCGCTGTGCTTCACCTCGGCCGCAACCTGGCCATGGAGCTGGGTCCCCGACACATTACCGTCAACTCCATCTGCCCAGGCTTCTTCCCCAGCAAGATGTCCAACGGACTCTTGGAGATGTCTGGCGGCGCCGAGCAGATCGCAAAGGCGAACCCCATGGGAAGGCTGGGTCAGCCCGAGGATATCGCGGGTGTTGTGGTGTACCTCGCGAGCAGGGCGGGTACTCACGTGAATGGAGAGTCGATTGCCATTGACGGTGGTTCGCTATGGCAGCGGGGAGAGCTCATGGGAGCAGAGTCGAAGCTGTAGTCATGGTGTTTAGTAATGTATGATAGACATAGAGTTGGTGATATCTCGTAGTTGCATTCAATGAGTTTATTGATGCTTCCGTTTTACTTTACGCATCTACTCTAGTCTTTCCTTTGTCTCATGAGCTACCTGCATCAGCTGGTTTGCGAGCTACCCAAGTGCTCGCCTTGTATATCGTTTGTAGTAGACTCTCACTGTCATGTATGTACGGTGCTTCAACACCAGTCTGATGCCACTCTACAACGAATCCCATCTTCTCAAGAAGAGCAATGACCTCATCGTCCGACAGCTCAAAGCTTCCCGGGTCAGCAATACCCGATGAGGTGTTGTGGTCATGTTCGCTGTCCCCTCCATCGCCCAAGCCATGGTTCCCAGGAGCGTTATTCTCAAAGTGCCACAACAAGGGGCCCACGTTGATAAGTACACCACCAGGTCGGAGGCAGTGTCTGATGACTTCGAGGTATCGAATCAGGTTTGGTGCTGTGTCGAGGAAGAAGACGCTGGCGACGGCATCATACTGCTCCTTGTGATCTTCGTCTGAGTAGAGGCAGAGGAAGTCGGCAGCACACATGGACATTTCCCCAGTATTAGGAGTAGCAGCCAGAACCGAAGCTGGATGGACGTCTGGGACTTGGTAGCTCCGGAGATGGTTGGCCCGGGTGAGGTGGTTTGAGAAGGAGTGAACCCAGGGGTAGATAGTATGATGCTTGGCTTTTGGGCAGTTGTTGAGGATGTAGGAAGAGGCCAGGAGCTGATGGTACGAGATTTCGTTTCCCTCGGCTGTGTAGCCATTCGCAACAAGGTCGAACACTAGTCGACCCAATCCTGCACCCGGCACCAGCACCTTCAGGGAGGTTTGCTCAGGATGCTTTTGCTTCTCTGTTTCGAGAGCCTTCAGGACAGGGCCGTAACTGGCTTGTCTCTCAGCAGCTCCAGCCTCAGTCCAATCGCGGTAGAACTGGCGGATGGTGCTCCTGGCCTTGTCGACGTCAGGGTGCTTAGCTACTCCGTTCCACTCCGGTGGCATGCTGGGCTCTCCTCCTTCAGACTCCGATGTGATGGCCCGGAAGGACTGGAGACCATAGCGAGCGATAGTGCGGGCAAACTCAGCATTCTCGTCAATGGCGTCGTCCACCTTCTCGAGGGTGTCGAGAAAGTTGAAAGGGGGTCCTGCAAGGAGTTTCCAGTGGTTCTGGGGGAGAGCGTAGAAAGACTGGCGACGGAGGTGGGTGATGTTGAAGTGAGAGACTTTGGCGTATTGGCTATGAATCTCTCAGTACACGGAAACATCCAAGATAGAGCAGCTCTCAAAAAGAGAGCTCAATATGATTGAATACGTTTTTCTGATGGTGAATCGCCCCTCGTGGCCTCGCCCCATACTCACAAGAATGAATCCAAGGCGCAAAATATGACGCGAACCTCCTCGGGGTCCTCCATACTGTCCTCTACTCCGCCCCAGGCGCTGTCATCCGGGACTACCTCGATGTGGTGACCATCTTCGGATCCAGCCATGGCTTAGAAATATGCTCGTGTGTGTGTTGATGTTGTGTGTGTATGTTGTCTCAGTAAGGGCTCATGGCGGGGTAGAAGTAGGAGAATGGCTATGACGATGTCTGGGCAGGGCCTTGTCTTGAATTGAACCGGCACTGCAGAAACTTGAAAAGTTGATATGAAGAAGATGATGAAAATAATGTTCAACTCATGCTCCATCCCCTCCCGTCAACCCGAACAGTCATTTTTGCGGAGCTGGAATGACCATTTGCCATTTCCGTGGGGTTTTGGCCAGATCATGTGATTTGGGGAAGCTCAACAATCAACCTGCGGACTCTGCGATAGCGACGACAGCTGTAAGAGCTAGTATTTGTGCCTAAATTCTGCAAGAAGCTCTATTTATTTGTTTCTGATTGAGAATTTCATTTTTGAATGTGAACGACCTTCTGTGGTGCTTGCGCAGACTCCCAAAGAGAACCCCGCCACCAACGCCAGTCAGCCTCCAACACCAACCTGATAACTCTCCTACACACTCACCTCACCAACGACACCACCAATGGAAGGCACACCTTGATCTCACTTCAGCCTCACTAATACTCAGCCTTATTCACTCCATCGCCATGGCTACAGACGCAGTCGAGCTTTCAGTGCCCCTTCCCCGCTCTCTGGACACACGCATCTACCTCCGCCTATCCACAAAAGCCAAGTCGGTCTTGCTCAACCTAACGACAGCTTCACAAGATGAGCTCGCTACCCCAACATCCATGGGCTCATTCGTTTATGCCTTGCCAAACGTGAGTGCAACCTTTTATTCATATGACATTCAGTTGCTGACATTCTATCAGAGGCTCGACCCTGTGCAGCCACTATCCACGACGCTCTACTCGTCAGAGTCGTCAGTCGAGTTCACGACCCGTCTGGCCAAGTTGCTCGCCCGGAGAACACAGCTCCCGGTTTACGTGAGCAACTCGATGAGCTTTGCCGATGCCGGCATGGGTGGCACGATAGAGGAGGAGATGGAGGCTTTCAAAACCATTGTCCAGATTGTCTTGGAGAAACTGCAGCCCAGTGCCAAATCGACTACGGCTTGAGTTGGGGCCGGGTATGGAATTCAAAATGCTGTATTTACCAGCAGTTGACTAGATCAGGGATTATCACGCGGACTTTTTGCAGGAGCCCCAACTTAAGCCCCAGCTTGAGCAGGAGAAGCCGGAGCTACATTGTGCGATCAAGAAGCATGGCTCCTCGGACGTTTGACGTGATCACCTCGCTTATGACAGAGCTGTCAGGGCGATATTGAACGATTACAACATGGTCGATGTACAGCTCCGGACGATTCCGCAGTTATACACGCAGAGATGGGTGGCTTGAGACAATATGTTTGTCATCTCACGGGAACGCGCGTGTAACACAATGATGTCTTTGTTGGTCGAGACGGGCGATGGCAGATTCTTCGGCTTGAGGCTACGCCTTGATAGATTAGGTATCTGGTCCGGACCAGACAATGCATTGCGTCTCACTTGGCCTTGAGATGGTAGCAGACTTTTGTTGGGCACCATGGCTTCAATGTCTACGCCCACTCTTGTTGATCGACGAAACTTGGCTTGCCAGGTTAAAGACTTGAAAATGGCCACCGCCAGAGGTTGTGTAACATTTGTGATACATGAAATGAAGAGTGGTGCAACAACGCATCGAGTGGCACTCAAGCCAGTCGTGAGCTGGCAGTGATGCATTGCTGTGAACAAGACCTTGTTGCTAGGATAAATGCAGAGTGCGACGGGTTGAGATGAAAGAGGAAGGCCCCCTGCTTCAGGCATCTTTCACACGCGGCTAGCCACACTTCAACTGCAGGGAGGGAGGAGTCAGTATTGATTGAATTTCATGATCTCTTGGCGGTTGTTGTCGAGCTCGCACTGTTGCCAACAAAGAGATGTCTCCACGTACGGAACGTTGCAGAAGCGGATGACTTGGGGGAGATGAGTTGAAACGATTCACGCACGTCACGGTCAAATGGGTTAAATATTCCATTTCCAGCCTGACAAACCAACAATATCTCATCGTTTAGAATAAACCCGACCAATGATCATGATACTGGACCTTCAGCTACAAACAAAGACCTGATCTTCAACGGCATCAGCGGCGACCCCCGCATTCACAGAGAAAAAAAAAAAAAAAGACAGACCTTCTGACCCGCTCATCTTTGGCGGGTTATCGTTATCGCACCCCGCCACTGAATAATTTTTTTTTCCCCTTCCTTCCCTTTTCTCCTCGTTTGGCACCGTGTTCCAATAGCTCGGATGTTTGTTTCAGGTTGCATTTAGCTGTTCCTGCATGGTGCCAGATGGACTGTGCTTCTTCCATCTCGCCACGGCTAGCCCCAATTTAGCAAGTCGCTGCCGCCCACCGGTCTCCGTTTCCCCCCCTCCTTCGCCTGGTCTGGCTGGGCCTGGGCTGTCCTCCCACTTTATTACTGCCTACACCAAAACCTCCTTCTTTTGGTGGGCAGCTTGTGCTGTGCTTTGCTCTGCTCTACTGTGCTTCTTCATCTCGACCTAGGTCCACTGGAGCAATCGCATCTTCCTTTCCATCCATCTTCTTTCTTTACTTCTCTTCCTCCCAACTTCGCGACCGTCGCCGACCTAGTCGCAGTCGCAGCGGGGACTCTCACGCCTTCTATCAGTCCCCGGCATCAACCGCAGACTTGACAAAATCCAGCAGTAACCTAGGAGAGAGTCGGGTACGTTCGTCGAGCTCCCATCAACGTGTGGCCCCACGACCTTTGCACATCCCTGCACCTGAGGGGCACCTTCGCTTCTCGCCCACTACCATCCCAGCCATATCCCATATCCCATTATCCCATAGCCCACCGCTCGGTCTCCTCCAAAGCCTGTGTCCTCCTCCAGAGCCTCCTTGTCCTGCTGAGCTCTGCGCATTGCTGACCCTCGAACCGTAGAAGCTGCGGACCTTGGCTGATGTGAAAGTAGATCTCGAACTCGCCATCCCGCTTCTGCGCGCCTCCACTTAGCTACAACCACCTTTTTCTTTTGCGAAACTCAAACAAAGACCCTGCCCGAACCGAACGACGGACGCCTCAGCAGCCATGTCCTGGCAACCCGCACCCGAGTCGCTGCAGCAGCTTGCTGCGTGCCTCAAGGACTCCCTCAGCGGCTTCGACAAGACTGCCCAGAAGCAGGCCGACTTGGTGAGACGACCCGTAACTGTCGCAATTGTTGCGCCAACCCTAGGCTAACCATGTTCCTCTCCGCAGATGCTCCAGCAGGCCAAGAACTCGCCTGACATTAACAACTACCTCGCATATCTCTTCTCCAGCTCCTCGCCTCCCGATGGCCTCCAATTCTCCGAGCAAGACTTTCACCTAGTGCGGTCCGCCGCCGGCATCATGCTCAAGAACAATGTCCGGGCCGAGTGGAAGAAGATCCCCGAATCCAGCCTCCAGCTCATCAAGATGGCCGTTCCCATGTGCCTCCAGGACAAGAACTCGCAGATTCGCAACTTTGCTGGAAACATCGCCACAGAGGTTATCCGCTGCGGTACTCTCTTGGGCTGGCCCGAGCTGCTACCTCAGCTTCTCGACCTGG